ATACTTGACCATTTCTAAAAAATAAAAGAGAACATATGGTACAAGTTATGGAAAGTGTCAAAAAAACAAAAAATCAACAACAAAGATCTAAGTACAATATCCTTCATTGTACGAGATACACAATACACAACAAAATAAACATAATCTAGGCTTCCCTTGAAACACCAAAGCATAACTTCACTTGCAAACTAAACCTGCAACAATACCTGAAAAACAACAACAATAATGGGGTGAGATAATAATCTCAGTGAGTTCCCCTATCTTATGGGTTCACTCGGCTCTACAAGGTTTTAACCAATTCTTTCTCAAGTCCCTTTGGGATAAGACTTGACTTCACACAGTTCGCGATGTATGGAAACCATACAAAGGCATCCCCTTTTCTCGTCCTCTCCTACGTCTAGGACTTTCATCACGGGTCATGGATCCTTGTATCATACTTTGACTTTCATGAGTATTTCAAGCTCCTTTATGAGACTCTAACCCACTTTATTGCACATATGAGACTCTAACCCATTTGGTTGAACATATGGGACTCTAACCCATTTGGTTGAACATATGGGACTTTAACCCACTTGGTTGATCATATGGGACTTTAACCCATTCAGTTGAACTATGGGAATCAAACCCACTTGGTTGACATGAAGTATCAATGCCTTTATCCCAACCTTACACTATATAGGTATCATGACTTGAGACGATACAAGTAAGGGTAGTTTCCGACTACATGATAAAATAACACAATCATGATTGTATTCGAAAATCACAAGGTGACAATATTCACCTTAATCACACAATAACATCACATGTTCCATACAATGCATCTCACTCATAACTAGGCAACTACTTGCCAATGATACACACCTAGGCATCATTGCACAAACATTGTCATCTATGTTATTCATCATGTCCTAATCACTTTACTAGTTATTCCATTAATTAATACCAAGGGGTTTCCTCACTATTCTTATAGTCTTTTAAGCATGTCATCACACAATCAAAATACCCATGTATACATCATACATTACACATAAGGTACATAAAATAACACAATTTAGTCAAGCATAATTAATGCACATAAGACATAAAATCAACATAGATAGGTCTTTCGGAGGCAAGCCCCTCACCAAATAGAACTTTCAGAACAAAGATCCCTCACTAAATATCAAACCATTCACATGGTGGTCAACATAACACTAAGTGTTCTTCTTCACTTTTCACATATTTTATTATCATATATTTCAACCAATTATTCATGGCGAACATGCGTAAAAATCCTCAATAATCATGTGAAACAATCCATAGCATCATAAGTCATGCACAAGAAGCAATCAAACAAGTAAATAAACAAAAGAGAACAAAATTGTCAGGCTCGGTGTGCGAGCTCTGGGCGAGGTCACCTCACTTTAAGTTCGTCCTGCAAGCTCTTGGCGAGACAGAGGATTTCAGAGGTAGTATCAAAAGGCCTCAGTGGTCGTTGTGCGACCTCTAGGCGAGGTCTCGCCTTCACCTTGCTGGAGGCTCGCTGTTCGAGCATAACAGACTGTCACGCTCACTACTAGTTCATTGTGCGAGGTCTGCGAAATCAGGATTTCTAGCAACGTGAAATAATGTCATCCATGGCCAAAAAATCCAAAACTTCAACACCTTATAATCCCAACACACATTAAAACATCCAATAAACATGGCATGACATGGTAGAGCATGAAATTCATCATATTACAACATTCAAACTTCAATTCAACATATTTTCACATAAAACCCTAAATTCCCTAACATGTTTTTCTTCACTCCCAAAACTATACTATCTAATGGAACTCACCTTGAAATGGAGAAAATGAGATGGATTGATGATGATGAATTCCTCTTCTTCCTCTTCCATGAGTTTCCTATCTTGTTCTTCTTTCTTCTTTCTCTTCTTATACATACATACATATATATATATATATATATATATATATATATATATATATATATATATATATATATATATATATATATATATATATATATATATATATATATATATATATATATATATATATATATATATATATATATATATATATATATATATATATATATATATATATATATATATATATATATATATATATATATATATATATATATATATATATATATATATATATATATATATATATATATATATATATATATATATATATATATATATATATATATATATATATATATATATATAATACATTATAAGGATATGAAATATCTCCATTTGATATTTTGTTATCTAACACCAATTGACTAAATATTAGAGTTACCAAAATATTCTCTCTTATACTTAATAATATTGGTCTGTCTCTTTTATCAATAATTGATCTCTTCAGAGTCCACTAGTTATTCTATTGGTCCCAGCTGATGATATTTAGAGCACTTGAGAGCTTCAATTATTTCAGCTGACACAAGTTAGAGTGCATAAGAACTCAGTTAGTCGCAACTGACACCCAATTGAGCATTTAAGGGAAATATGGGGTATTACACAGGATGTCCGCACACATATTTTTCTCCCTATAGATGCGAGTGATCATAAAGTTCAAGTGTTTCATTTTATGGATGTAATTCAACCAACGATTCTTAATGTTTCATGGGAAAATATTTGGATTGGAGAGATCTTTAACCACCATTAAATAATCAATTTCAATCCAAACCTTGTCCCAATGCTTATATAAATCCAATTCCATTGCAAGAATCATACCAGTCAAATCATCCATCAAAGCATGGCACAAGCCAATAAAGGAAGAGAAACTTCCCACTTCCTTGTTCTTATCATTGATGAAGATTTCACCACAAGCACACAAAGAAGGTATTCATATGGCTACACCATATATGTTACCGTTAATCCAGCCAAGATAAGGAGATTGCCAAAGAACATCAATGGATATTTTGAACTTTGGAGGATGAATGGTGATGTTGAAAGTTTTTAAAATGGAGAATTCATACATTGAAGGACCTACAACCCTGTTACTCTAATTACTAATCATTCTCAAAGAGGAAATAATAGACTTAATGGAATTTTTCCAATGAATGTTGGCATCTTCAAATCTTCTCTTGTTCCTAGCCATCCATATTTTAGAAAAAGTGGACAAGACCCCAACTTTTATGACAAGCTGATATTTAGAAGACCAACCACTGTTTATAATATTTAAACAATCCAAGATGCTAGATATTTTGAAAGGCAAATAAATAGTGTTTGAGAACCAATTCCAAATGCGAGAAGAAAACTTGCAATTGAAGGAAATGTGGTTAGAAGTTTCAGCATGCAAATGACACAAGATGCATTGAGAAGGGAAGTGGAAGCCTTTAATGTGTATGTATCTTCAATGGGAATATCTTTGTGAATAAGTTTCTAAACTAGCAAAGAATTGGATGGAGGAGTGTAAGTATTTTAAAGTAACTTGCTTCGTTAAATAGGGTTGGCATGGCCGTTAATGAAATCATATACCAACTTCAAAGTAAGAACTCCAATGGAATAATGCAATTCTTTATCGTGTCCGTCATATAAGGGAAAACAATCATCATATTTTGTGAAAGAGACCAACAATTATCACGAATGAAATTACAAATCATAACTTTTAGAGAATTGTGAAAATATGTGGGAATGTTGTATTTTGAAACAAGAGGTAAGCCGCACCAATTATCAAGCCAAAATTTAGCATCCGTGCCATTACCGATGAGCCAAGAATTCTGTTAAATTGTTGTAAACTAGCTCTTCATCCCAGTCCACACTGATGAAAGAATGTTATTACTGATTAGTGATTGAGGAAATCCCAACATCAAGGATTTGACAGGCCATTAATAAATTTGGATTTAGTGAAGAATCAAGCTATAGATAACAAACTTCACTAGTCGGAGTCTACCTGCTATTGAGAGAAGAGAGACCTTCCGATTAGAGCGTTTGAGTTCTATTAAGAATCCAAGAATTGTTGGGTCATGAGGAGGAGAATCAACATTGGGCCTAGAGCAACACAAGTGAGAGAGACACAACATATTCACCCAAAACTTTAAGGTGATAAGTGTGTGGGTTCTCCCACTTATAAATGTTCAACTCTCCACATGTATAACCAATGTGGGACTCTATCTCACACTTGACATATTATTCTCAACACTCAAGTAGAAACTCTTTTTCACATACACTTGTAGCGCCGTTGACGTGCACCTCTTTTCTGGGCATTTCGATACACCTCTTCCTACGTATTTCAACATAAATAAGCGGATCCATTTCTCGAACCAAAGGCTCATGATACCATTTGTTGGATCATAAGGAGGAGTATCAACATTTGGCCTAGAGCAACACAAGTAAGAGAGACACCATATATTCATCCAAAATCTTAAGGTGATAAGTGTGTTAGTTCTTCTGCTTATAAATATTCAATTGTCCACATTTATAACCAATTTGAGACTCCAACAGACATATTTTTCTCAACAAAAATATCATTAAGGAAATCATACCTATCATAATTCATAGCCCCAACATAGATGATTAATTTTGAAGTGTTGCACACTTGAACACATTCATTTAAACAAATTTTCCAATATTTTTCTTTACTTTTATCTATGCATTCATCACTTTAATAATAATATAAACAAATTATAAGCTAATTTTTCGACTAACTTTTAATTTTAACAACTCACTAAACAAATCATTCTCTTAGACTTTTGTCATGGTTTAACTTTAACTAACACCATAGTCAATAATTTATATATACCACATTTTAAATTGTCTAAGTTACTATTCACCTTATTTTTTCCTCTTTTCAATTATATAAACCCACCAAGCTTGACTTTCACAAAATGAATGAATTGTTCATTCACTTGACCCATATTGAACTTTAGGTACAACACAACACACTCACTCTTTTTTATATATAAATATTCCTTTCACAACCCCCTTTCAACCTTCATAACCATATATAAACCTTTCACAATCCATTCTTTTCATATCCCTAACTAAATACCCTCAAAAAATGGGTGTTGTAGGCACATGTGAAACTAAGAGGTCAGAGCTTATTGCCTTTCACCGGAATCTAGTGGCTACCGCCGGTATCCACCGGAGAAAAGACGATGAAGGGTTGAGAAAAAACAAACATTTTTCTTCTTTAGATGAAGATGATGAAGAAAAAAGAACAACCTTAGTTTGTGTTACAAGTGGTGTTTCTTATTTGGGTCTTGCTTTAGTCAACCATCTTTTAGTCTTAGGTTATTCTGTTAGAATAACTATTGACAACCCAGGTTGGTCTCTCTCTCTCTTAATCTCTTCAAAATTTCATTTTTCTTAATCTATGAAAAAAATTAAATATGGGTTTTGTTTAAAATTTCAGATCCTTATTTGCTTAGCTTTCATAGTTTAGTTCTTCACTATGTTCTTCCTATGGGTTTTTTTTAATAAATTTTTTAATTCATTGGTGATGTATAAAATATGATTTTTTTTCATGGGTAGGTGTGAGCAAGAATATGAATAATAATGTGGAAGATATGCAAGAGATTAAATAAAATAAATTAAAATTGTAAGTTGGTGGCATTTGGCAAAGTAACAATGTTAGTTTAAATTTATGTGGGTAGGTATGAATGTATGATAGAAAATTAGGGGTGATTTAAGCAAAGATGAGCCACAAATTCCAACAACACTTTGTAGGTTTTTATTTTTTTGTGAAACTTTATAATTAAAATTAATGGTCCCCATGGTATTTTTTTTTGTATTTGCTTTTTGAGAAGAGAACGTGGACGTGGATCTTTTTTTACATTATGATATGTAAATTAGATTATATTTCATCTGCATGAAATAAAATAATAATTTATGAAACTTGTTCACTTAAATTTAGTATTCTCTCTCCCAAGATTTTTTTTTAGTTTATTATAAATTAAAAAAAATATAATAATTGAAAATACAGCTAAATATTTTGATCTGTCAAAAGTATAATATGAATATTATATGGGACCTCGTGTCACATGTGAGTGTAGTGTAGGACCTTTTTACTCCACATTTTTGGTTGTTATCGTACGTACATATCCATACATTTTAATTATTAAATTAAAATATAAAAAATTACCACTAATTGTTTTTTTTATGATTTATGATGATAAACGAATACGACCCTATGAATATTCAAGTCTACAATTTTGAATAAGATAGCCGGCTTTTTTTTTGTCTTGTTTATTCTTAAAAATAGACGGCTTTTATATATAAAATAATGTCTTATATTATATTCACATAGTTTTTATATTTATCATGATTATGATTATATATGGTTTATTTTAAGCAGGCATTATCTTTTTATTTGTAGTTTAGTGTTTGTTTTAAAACATCCAAAGAGTGCTTCTGCAAGTAACCGTGATATGTGATTTAAGATGATTTTTTGTGTAGTGTTTTGGTTTTCTTAAACATTTGTGTGATGTTTAATATACTATAATCAGTTATCAATCGTTAATTGGTTCAGTGATGATTGACGCTAAACTTATCCTTTAGAATTACAATAGAGAGGAGACTGAAATTATTTAATATCAGAATTGACTTTCAAACCGTATTAATCGATTCGATGGATCGAATATTTGTGATAAAAAAAAATACTATAATCACTTTCGACCTAACACAACACAGAAAGCGAAAGCTCACATGATGAAGATTCCATCAAAACAAAACAAAACAAAAAGTTCACATGTGAATGTGGCCCCACCTGTGATTTCTTTATTGATTTGAGTATGTAGTTTGAGTTAATTTATTTAAGATAAAGTTTGATATCATATAATAGAATTTGTGGTTGAGTTTCATTCATTCCAATAATTTATAACACTATCTAATGTGTGACTATATGTTAAGAAACATAATTCTAGACGTTTATACTATGTTAATGTCTAAGATATTGGTACTCAAAACCATCAAAAATTGTTGTTGTGTTTCTTTATAGAAAAACCAAACAAATTATGCAATTCTATCAAATCCGAAAGTGTTGCTATTAGTGTAACAAGTAGTTCTGTTGTTGTTTTTGTTGTTTATTACGTTTACGACATTGCGATAGATATAATGTATGATATGGTTAGCTGTAATTAATGAATGCAGATGAGATAGAGAAATTGAGGGAAATGGAGAGATATGAAGAAAGTAACTTGGAGATAATAATGGCAAAGTTAAGTGATGTTGATAGTTTGGTGAAAGCATTTGAAGGATGTTGTGGCGTTTTTCATACCTCTGCATTTACTGACCCCGCTGGTCTCTCTGGATACACTGTGAGTTTCTATCTTTGTTTTGAAAATCGACTCTTTGATCAACTCAGTCAGAGTATTGGGTCATCAGTTAAACTATTGGTTGGTTACTGGTCGAACTGTATGACTAAATCAGGTTAACTTGAATGAGTTGGTCACATTACTCGATTTCTATAAAAAATGGAAAATAAATTATTTTGTGAAAATATTTACTACAATAGGAAGTGTTACTATATATGTAATATCTAATAAGCAATTGATTTTGTATGAAATGTAGAAATCCATGGCTGAGATTGAAGTGAATGCAGCAGAAAATGTGATGGAAGCATGTGCAAGAACACCTTCAATTAAAAGATGTGTATTCACATCATCACTAGCTGCTTGTATTTGGCAAGAAAATGTAAATTCAAAACTTACTCATGTTATCAATCATGACTCTTGGAGCAATGAGTCACTCTGCATAAACAAAAAGGTAAATTCAAATCCGATATAATACCTATACAACTCTGCTATCGAGACCAATCGTTTGATTTTATTTGAATCAGTCATGCGGTTCAACTAGTAACTTTCTGATTCGACCATCGACCCTGACTCCTATGATTTTGTCAGGTCGATGGTTGAGCTGGTTTCTGAAACATTGATCGGCTGAACTAAAATTTGAAGGTATTAATTACCTATTGGATTTCGGTCCGATTTTTACAATATTATTTTTATTTATATGGCAGCTATGGTATGCATTAGGCAAGATGAGGGCAGAAAAGGCAGCTTGGAGAATAGCCAAAGAAAAAGGTTTAAAACTCACTACCATTTGTCCAGCACTTATCACAGGACCTGAATTTTGTCCTAGGAATCCAACATCAACAATTGCTTATCTCAAAGGTACTATGTAACCAAAATCATTGTCTAATCTTAGACTAGATATTTACTATTAGAATCTAAAAATTGAAAATGCAAATGCAGGATCACAAGAAATGTATTCAAATGGTTTACTAGCAACAATTGATGTAAAAAAAGTAGCTGAAGCTCATGAGTGTGTGTTCAAGGAAATGAATGGAAATGCTTATGGGAGATACATTTGTTTTGATAATGTAATTAATGTTCAAAGTGAAGGAGAGAAGCTAGCAAAGGAGATTAGAATGCCTAAAGAAAAGATATGTGGAGATGCATCAAATAGTTCTTTGCAAAGATTTGAGTTATCAAATAAGAAGTTATGGAGACTCATGTCTAGGCCACTAAGGTGTTTTAGTGAATATTAGATGGAAATCATGAAATCATGTCATGTCTTAATGTTCTTAAGATTTGTGGCTTTTCTTTGTCTTAGGAGTGAATAGAAAATAGATGAGGTATCCTTTTTTAGTGTTTTTTTGTTGTTGTTAATGATGGGGAATCCAACATGGGTAACATGTAGTTTGTTTGGTAATGCTTGTATTCATTTATCATCAAGTTTTATATATATCTTTATTCAATTTTGTTAAAACCAATATTCAATGTGTATTTAGTTAAAATCGAATCGGTCGGGAGCCTTCGATCTAATCGAGTCCTTGGCTGAAATAATCATTTCACCTACATGAAGATGAAAATGATTTGGTTATGGTTGCACAAATAAATTTTAAAGCAACACGTTAAGTTTTAAGTTCGATTCGCCCCACAAACGTAGACAAATTTGTTGGATACTTGACTTATATTCAAATCAAACATATTAATCAACAATATTTTGCATAATAATTTTTTACATTTATTCTCATATGTTAAAAAAATAACCGTGTTAGAACAACAACCATTAAAGAAGATTGAAGATAAACGAAAATAAAAGACAATAAATACGACCGATATTTGTTAGCGCAATTCGGCCAATGATGCATATTTTTGCCTATGGAATTAAGATTACAATATTACAAACAATATATAATACTAGAGTTCAGTTTACAATAATACCCATGAATACCCCACACCTCTCAGTTACCTATCCACAATAATCTCCACAGTAAGAGTCATACTCAACAATACCCGTAATAATCTCCACATTATGAACTATTCCCAAAAATACCTATAATAATCTCCACATTATGAGCTATTCTTAACAATATCCATAATAATTTTCACCATACGAGTCATACTCAACAATCTCTACGTTGGCGAATATCAAACTCCTATGAAGATTTCTTGTAAGACGATTACATTCTGACAACTGGGAAGACACACCTTTTGTTTAACACTGAAAAACATGTAACAAGTCCAAACAATGCTTGAACTTGTCACTAATAATTGATTTGGTCAACATATCAGACGCATTATCTAAAATATGGACATTTTCAAATAATATCTGTTCAGATGAAAGTAACTATTTGATATTGTGAAACCTCACATCAATATGTTTGGTCTTGACATGATACACCTGATTGTTTGCCAAATAAATGGCACACTAACTATCATAATACAATCAAAATCTACCTTCCTCAACACATATTTCTCTCCCAAATAATGTAAGCCATAAAACTTCTTTGGAGGATTCACATGTCATTATGTACTCTACATTAGTTTTCGACATGGCCACTAAGGATTGAAACAATGATTTTCAACAAATAGGTCATCATGCTAAAGTAGAGACATACCATGTTATAGACTTCTTATCATCCATATCACCAGTATAGTCTGAATCAACAGATTCTGAAATCAAAGGATCACCTTATTCAATGCTAAACATGATACCATAACTTGTTGTACCCTTCAAGTACCTGAAAATCCACTTGACTGCTTCCCACTGATGTTTGTCCGGTTTAAACATAAACTTAGAAATTTGACTTACAGCTTGTGAAAATATGGTCTAATGCATACCATAACATACATTAAACAACCAACAATACTGACATAAGAAACCTTTGACATATACTTAGCTTCTGCAACTGTCTTTGGAAACTTATCTAATGAGAGCTTAAAGTGATTCACAAAAGGAGTACTCACAACCTTATAATTACTAATGTAAAACATAGAATATTTTAAACATAGATTTTTTGAGAGAGTCATAAATTTTCATCACTCAGATGCTTGTGAATTTCAATACCAAGAATCTTCTCAGTAGCACCTAAGTATTTCATGTAAAACTCACTTCCCAAAATGATTTTCAGTTCATTTACATCATGTAATTGATTAGAAACAATTGACATATCAGCAACATACATGTAGTGGTCAAAAAGTACAGGTGTACATGTTCTCCGGGAAAAGACAGTGGAACTCAGAGACCTTAGTAGGTATGTTACGCGGTATGGTGGTTATGGCTTGCCGATCGGTAAAATAGCAAGTGTACTATTTTGTCGATTGTAGTTAAAAATAGGAGTTATCCCCAATATCGATCTCGAGGACTGCGTTAGGCAATATAAGCTTAATTTAAATTTAATTAAACAAAAGTCAATTGGGGGTTTATAAAATTGGTTTCATGAATTTTAAACAAAATATTTAGAATAAGGCAAAGTAATGAACAAAGTTCAACAAGATATGAGAGCATGCTAGGGGCAGTGTATGAATTGCCTTGCAAGAACATCAACCCTTATTTCATAACATAAACACAGTTTTATCTAGTTCTTGAGTGCTATTAGTGTTTACCCCTAAGTCCTTAGTGAGAAAACCTTTGAAATCATAATCAATTTACTACGTCCATAGACAAACTAATTTGAAATCAAGCATTGAAAATAGATTCAGTAGTAATCAAGTGCACAACAGGGTAATCCTAGTCCTAGGAATTATCTGCTGAGGCATTATTGATTAAATTGTATTAACAGTGGTTTGTCCGGCCTAAGGTTAACTGAAAAACTAAATCAATTTGTCCGATTGAAAAAGTGATAAAATCATTGAATGATAAAACTTGATGAATAAAAATAAGTGTTTATGTCATAAAAATAAGGAATATAATATCATTACAATAACAATTCAGGGACACCCCCCCTAGAATTTGGGGGTTTAGCTACTCATAGTCAATAAAATAAATCAAACAATTAGATACAACATTACAGTAGAAATGTGGATTACTTTTGATCTTCAATTGCTTTGGCCTTTGAAAATCTCCCGTTCTCTCTTTTCTCCTGAGCTCCCAATCGTATCTTGTCGTCCTTTCTTTCACGATCCAAAAATTCCCTTTCTCTTTTCCAAAATGCGTTTCAAATACTCACAGATCCACTAGACATACCAGAAAATTCCAAAAATACCCTCCAGGGTCAAAACTGACAAAAAAATGGAAAATGACACGCCCATGCCAACACGGACCGTGTCAGCTGACACGGGTGACCATGTTGGCCCCTGGTCCAAATACAAAAGAAAACTCATCATCCAGCCATGCTGACACGGGCACTTGTGTCAGCTCCCTGTCTTGCACACCAATACGCCCATGTTGTCCTTCTCCTGACACGGCTCGTGTCAGGTGACACGGTGTTGCACCTCAAAATTTGCTCAACCTTTTCTTGCCTGATTTATGTTTCATTGCATTTCATTTGCATAGTTACATCATTCACATAGTTCTAATCATTTGCATATCATAGCATATCACTCATCCAACAGGGAACCAAGTGTGATTCTTATCAGAAGAAGCCTAGCAAGAGGTGTTATCCAAGTATGAGAAGTCATCCAGGCCATCAAGAAGTGATTTGAAGTCTTGAGAAGTTTGAGTGCCTACATGTGGGTTTTGCTCCTATCTTGAGGAATATTGAGAATCATCAGTGGGATGTGAAACAGGGAATGTGGATTTGAGGTGTGTATGGATCTCATGGAATGCCTAGAGGGCCCTATTGAAGCTGAGACAAGTCATTGATTCAAGTATGAGAGCCACAGTTGAGGTGCAGTCAACTAGGGTTTTATCTGGGTCAATCCTAGGTCAATTGTGCAAATTGGAGAGCATCAAAGCCTACTTTGAGGTCATGGGATTCATGGATTGGTATGTTGATACATGTGTGGTTTTGTGCCAAGATTAAGCAAAGAAGAATCAAGAAGGTGGGGAGTTGCTAAATTAGGGTTTCAGTGTAAAATCCCCTGTTTAGTGCTTAACTTCAAAGCCACATAAATCAAAATACAAGTTTCAAATGGATATTTGGCCAACATGAAACTTGTATAGAATCTCAATACCTTTAATTAGAGTAATAGAAGTCCTTGATAGGATTTGTAGAACTCAAGTTATGATCTTTGCAAGCTAGGGGTATTTTAGGTATTGGTGATTATAGGTCATTTGTGATCATAGGTCCATATCTCCAACTTGCAAGCTTCAAATGGAAAATTGTTCAACATGGAACTTGTTCAAAATGATGTTTTGAGTGCAAGCAAGTGGTCATGAGAGTTTGGTTTGGCTTGGAACACAAGGTTGCTTGAAATGGCTTAAAAAGGAAGAAATTAAAGTCATTAAAAGGCAAAAAAATGTGATTTCTTGATTTATGGCCAAACAAGCTCATGTTATATGTCAAATTGATCAGAAAACAAATTTTAAAAGTGATGACATTTTTACATTTTGCATTTGAGGTCATTTACACACACTTCCATTTTGTAACTTCATGTGGAAGTAACATAAGCAATTCACATCCTTGGATCAAAAGTAAGGCAATTACCATCCCCATTCAATTCTAAATGTCATAAGAGGAGAAATTCAAGTGAAATTGAGAGCTAGAACAGAGCAAAACCCAAATGTGGCATATGAGAAATTGGAAGAGAATGAGAAATTCAAAATCTCATTCAGTTAGTTACAGAAAGTTCTAGAGTGTTCTAACACACTCTATATAACCATTGCAATGAGTTCAGATGGTTTTTTGGGCAAGAATTGAAGAGGAACCAGAGGGGGCAACTGAAATTGCAAGAGCTGCATCAAGAATCGAATTTTGAGATTAAGGCAAACTCAGTGCAAATTGCTTATTGTAGAAGCTTTAGAGTGCAACTTGGAGTGATTCTGGAGAAGATTGGAGGCTGAATCGAAGGGAATCACTATCTGTTCATCTCTCAAAACCAGGTTTGCATTTTTCAAATTTTGGCTTTAATTATGGAGAATTGATTAGAAATGATCATATGGTTAGGTTAGTGATGATGCTAGGATGGATTTCAGTGCAAGAATTGAGTGATTAGAGACCAAACTAGGCATGACACCATTTCTGTTGAAGCTTATATCTCTTGATTCTTGAGGTTGTAATCACATTTGGATAGCAAGATTTGATGCCTGATACGTGTAGTTCACATTGATGACTTTAATTTTAAGAATCGTGACATTGGAGATTTGGTGATTTTCTGTAAC